TACTTTTTTTTTTTTTTTTTTTTTTTAATATGCATAAAGACGAAAGTTTTGAGCCGTGTCAGTTGAACCAGTCTGTCTCGTCAGTGATGAATATTTCAATTATTAATTGCTGTCGCAAGGCTGCTCGAAATAGCAAATGGTTTTCGGCTGGAGCGTTTGTCCCGTTAACAGCTGAGACATCGGAAGCTGCGCTCATAGTTTTGCCTCGTCTTTATATATGTATATATATATATTTTTTTTTTTTTTACAAGAAAGAAGTAAAAATAAAAGAGGGATGCGGGCGCTGTAGTATCCACTCAATTGCATGTGAAGATTTCCAGCCTTTTCGAGCACGAGCGTCTCTTGTGGTTTGGGAGCAGAGAGAGTGGGAGGGAGAAAATCGGTAGTGCTGGGTCTAATGAAACAGTAACATCAATTATTCCCCAGTGTGAGACCACTTAAATAAACTGCAGAGGTGGTTTTACCGTGGGAACCTATTTGACAAACGAGCTTAAGTTAAAATACGTTTCCAGCATTTGCTTTCGTTCTTGTTTGCCTGGTGACAAATTTTTAAAAAACACTTTCTATTGATGTTGTTGTTTTGTCTGTGAGATTCCGCTTGAGCGGAGGAAAACCAAGCTTCCCGGCGGCCAGCAGCCATTAGCCCAGGGCTGCTTTTACTGCCAGGCTACCGGTTTGTGGCTTTCTAAAGCAGTTTGTAGCGTCGGTGCCGTGTCGCTCGCTAAAGAAACGCAAATGGTTGTCGGGCTGAAGAGACGCGTTTGAAATTTTCTGTGCTCATCTTTTATGCGGTTAGGAGATCATGAAAAGCATTGCTTTCCTCCGGATAAAATCCTTTTGTTAACTTTTCTTCTTTTTTTTTTTTTTTTTTTTTTTCCCCCACCCCCAAAGTGGATATTTGGAGCTCATTCTCCGGTCATCGGATTTTCACCATCCTCGAGCGTGGAGTTCGTCCCTGTTTTCCCACCTGTGTACGCATCTACGGTCCCGCCTCATGCTGGGAAAAACTGGATCGATAAAAGGCTACCCAGCTGCAAAGTAAGTCTGATCTTGGTATGTCGAAGTATTTTTTAAGGCTCAAGTGTGTAAAGTGTGTAAGCTGACAAACGTTCTGGGCTTTATGAGTTGCGAAGGCGTGCGAAAGGTCAGCAGCTTGTCAGGCAAAACCCCGCGGAGGAGGAGGGGTGGGGAAGGGACGGTTGATGGAGGAGGCCACTCCAGCACTCGCATGTCTGTGCTTTCCTGAAGCTTTACGATGACTGAAACGTCTTTAATATTAATCTTCATTACGTTGAGTAGAAGGTTTTAATTTTACTATGGGGTGCGATCGTGGGAGTTTTCCATCTTCCCTTTCTCCTTGGGACTCGCGCCGCCCTTCCCCAGAAGGGATGCCGGGGTGTCGCGCGCGGTCCCGTGCCCCATCCCCTTACCTCCGGCTGCACGCTTACCTTGCTCGTTAATTAAAACGTGGCTTTGTGACTTTGTCCCGTTTTCCTCCCTCACGCCCATCTCCCCCATCCGGAGTGTGGCCGAGGGTTCTGAACAGCTCCGGAGTAGCTGGGGCTGGGGGACAACTGCCTTCAGCTGCTCTTTTCTTTTAGTGATGCTGCATCAGCTGATTAGTCATCTTAAAATCCAGTTAATTTGTAAACGGTCAGCTCAACCCAGCCTGCAACGCTAATGGAGCAGAAATCAGTCTGTCCCCAACTTGAGATACTACCTGTGTTGTAACATTGAGTTAAAGGTACTTCATTCTCATTTTTATTTCTGAATTTTGCATCTCAAACCTTAACATTCTTTTATTTATTTATGTCGGGCAGATCTATTTGAATAATGCATTTGCTCTGGATTCGGCGTGGATACATCCTGAGGAGTCAAGGCTCTTCCAGGGAAATGAGAAGCCCCTGTTAATGACAAATCAAGTAGCCATGGCCATAGCCAGGCCAGCTGCTGCCTCCAGGCCTCTTCCCACAGTGGTGCTGGCACCTCAGCTGATACCAGGTCAGTAGGACATAAATAATTAAGTACTTTTTTTAAAAATTATTTTGTTTAAATGCATCTCCCAGAGATGTGTAAGCCATTCTCTAAAGTAAGGGTTTCATTGCATGCAGCTGGAAATCTCTTCCTTGATCTGAACCTTGATGGCAAAGTGCGTTTCATCCTCTAAATTAGCCTTAAAGAGAGAAAAGACCACGTGTAATTATAGAAGATTGAAACAAATTATTCCGTAAGTGCTTGTTGACTTCTGGAACGAAGGGGCCAGCCGCCCCCAACAGGCTTGGTTTATTTTCAAACAGTAAGTTGCCAGCATAGCTGATGTATAGTTCTCCTGATGGTCACTAGTTCTCAGGATTTGGTGTGGTCTGTGTAGACAGCTATCGGTAGAGAGGGGTGATTGATCCACCGTCTCGTTAAGGCTCAGGCACAGCGATATTTGTGACATAAATTCCATGGCTCTGCGTACCTCAGGTATGTCACAGCTCTGAACAGAAGAGCTGAGCTTTATACTTGGAGAAGAACAGAACACGAGTCGCAGGGAAGCCGAACCTTTCCATTTTGGTCCTACAGTAGTAACTTCAAAGTAGCAGTTGTCTCATAGAAAAGGTTAAGTAGTAAGATGCCACTGTTTAAACTCCCAGCAGATATTCTTAAATTCAGAGTTAGTCCGTTCTTAGTGGCTGCTGTCGGTTGTTTCTCCCTCAGACGGAGGTGATGCCTGCTGGGTGGGCAGCAGAGCCCCTCTCCCCTTGGTCTTTGCCCTGTAAAGTGCTTCTGGTTTTGTAACCGTGTAGCACATGGGAGCTTTCCCGTGTTTTGCCAGTAATGCAGACAGTGAGTGCGCTGGAAGGGATCCGTGCTGTTTGGCTTCGTTTGCCAGGCTGATTAATTAGCGGTGAATATTGTTCCGTATTGAAACATGTTGAGCCACTCGTGTCGGTTCCATATTTTGATGTTTTTGCCAACCTTCTGCCAGCATGGCCCGATGCTCAACTGAGGCACCGGGAGCCATCCCTGTCACGGGACGCTGATGGCCCCTCCCGGGGTGCCCGGGGGGTGTTCAGTGCAGGGCGGCACAGCCCACTGTTTGTTTGTGTGTGTTTAGAATATTTCCGTATTTTAAACGAAAATGTTTTATCGCACACGGTATTTCGGGCGGAAAGCCAAGAACGTACCTGGCAGCGGGTTAGGGCAGGGCCCCCGGCAGAACAGGGCCCCTCCCAGCCCGATGCCACCTCTGTGTCCGTCAGGAGCACGGAGAGAAGGTGATTTTCTTCCCCCTGGACCATGTGGCACACACGAGCCTGTTTTCAGAGACCTTCAGGTGGGTCCAGCTCTCCTCCAGCAGCATGCTCGGCGTTGGCTGCCACCCCTTCAGACCCCCCCAAGCTCCTGAAGCCCCCCAGCGGTCTTTCTAAGTCTCCCCATCCCTCTCAAAACCTTATTTCTGGTGGATGAGATCCGAGCTGACCTGGGACCGTCCCCGGCCGTGCGGAGCCGTGCATGGCAGCATCGCTGGCGGTGGCGGGGCCCGGCAGCCCCCGGAACAAGATGCTTCTGGGAAGTGTTACGTTCGGACTTGGAAGCACTTTGTATAGAATCTTTACCCTTAGTATGAAGAGTAATAAAAATACTGACAGCAAATTGCTTAGTTAAGTGGTTTAAACTGAGAAGTTAATAAGCTTTTTGCAGGCTGCGTGGCTGGGCTCGTCCTGAAAGCCCGTCTGACGGCAGGTTTGCCTTCCACAGTTATCAGTAATGATATAATTGTTTTCTCAATGTATCAGCAATGTTACAAAGATAAAGGAATGAGGCATTGGAGTCTGGAGAATGGTAATGCACATAATTTAACAGCTGCGAGCTCCAGCTACTAGGTGTTATTTTCTGTAAGAAAAGGAAGCGGCTATTATTCTTGCGCATATTGCAAAACATGAATTTATGTACTTACCATTTTTGTGTATCTAAAGTGAGTAGTGACATTTTATTTTCCCACCTAGGAATGATAGCTTGTTTTATGTCTACTGGATACTGCATTTTTTTGTGAGGAAGGCATGGCAAGGCAGCATCTAGATATTTTTGCAGAGCAAGGATTCATGTTTCTGTCTCCCGTGCGGCGCTCTCTGCCGCGCGGATGGAGTCGGGGCTGGGTTGTGCCGAGTTCCACGTGCCCGTGTGGCATCTCTGCCTTCTGCACATCCCCGGGGGCCGAGGGAGCACCGGCAGGACCCCTCGGTGACACCTCTTAGATGAAAGCTGTAGCCCTCCAGGACATGATGTTCTGTGCTTTTTACTATGCTTGATGCTATTTTAAATGCTTGAGGGTACGTTCTTGCCGTTTGACATTCCTGGCCCTCGAGAGCATCGCCAGCAGCAGTTCCTTGCAAAGGGCCATTTTATACTGGTATGTTCCAGAAGGTTTTCTGAGGAAACCTGGGAGAAGCAGCCTTTCATCCAGCCTCCTGCGAGGGAGGGAGCAGGAGATGCAGCTGGAAGTGTGTTGCTATCTCTTCACTTCTTGAAGTTGCCCAGAAGGGCTGCGCAAGCCACTGGTGGGAGCGCACCGAGCCCGCGGCTGCACCCCCGGCAAGGGCTGGGTGGTGAGGGGAGCGAGGGAAGAGTCTCCATCGAGGGCAGAAATTCCCTGATTTTTGTTGAGATGGTGGCTTTTGACATCCGTGTTTGCCTTCTGCTTGCTGAGGGCGCCTGTGGAGCAGGAGGCTGGCGAGTCGGTGTCTCCCGTGAGCGTGTGTGCGGTCCCGCGGGCTCTCGGGGAGGCCCTGGTGTGATGTGGAACCCTACAGGGTGTGGGCGCCCCAGTAGAACCAGTAATGTGGTTGTTCCTGGGCTCCTTTCTGAGGACCATAATACTCTGCAGCTCGTTTCAGGGTATCATGCTTTGAGCAGAGCCTATGTACAGAGAGGGGAATTCTGTAGGGAGGAGTGCGTGCTTCCCATCCACGGAGTCACTGAGGTTGGAAAAGACCTCGGAGATCATCTGGTCCAACCATTAACCTCACCGTGACCCTTCTCCACACCTGAGCCAGGTCCTGGCCACAACCAGTGTGGCAAGTGCATAGAAAGGAAGGTTGCTCCGGTAAATCTTGCCAACGGCTTATTGAAAAAATACCCTCCAGAGTTTCTGGGGGTTAAAGTCGTGGGCAGTTGCTCAGAAGCAATTTGGAGGCTTGAATAACCTTGGAAATGGAGTGGGTGTAGTAGAGCAGCTTCAGCTGGGTTGTTGGGTGCACGGAGCCCGGCTGCTGCCGTCTGCAATTCTACTCGGAGCAAAGGGAAATCTGAACGTTTGAACAGCAAAGGGAAATCCGGCATCTGAACACCTGCTTCCGTTTGAAAAAGTTTGAGAGTCCTCAAATGGATTTTTTTTTTTTTTCTTTTTAAACTGCATTTTCTTACTCAAGTGAAGATGCTCAAGACCAGGGATGTCTTTGTGGAGTCTTCAGCAATAGCTGGGGTGGTGAGTGGGGAAGGCAGCGTTGTCTCCGACCCCTGCTGGCCTCAGGGGCTCCTTCAGGAGCCCCCTCGGAGCCGTGGGAGGAGACGCTGAGGAGGTAAAAGTCTTTTAACAGTCTTTAACGCTCAGAGTATTTTTTCATTTCTAACGGAGGCAGTCTAACTTGGAATGAAGACTTCTAGTGGTTTTCGGTCTTGGTTTCCTTGAAGGAAAATAGTCGTCTTAAATCAGATATTTTATTTTCTTGTGCTTTTTTTTTTTTTTTTTTTTTTTTTTTTTTTTTTTTTTTTTCTGTGTGTGGAATGATTTTCCAAGAGCAAGTATTCTCTGCCAAGTCAAAGCTTTGTTGCTGCCTCTGTGTTTCCACAGTGTCTCTGCTCAGGAGCAATCTCCTTGCTCTTTCATCCATTGGTGTTGGAATACGAAAGGCAGAATGAAGAGTTCCTGGATATTCTTTCACCAACTTGCTTTAGCATTACCGATCCTCTGTAGATTAAGATGTCCTTTTCTTTCCTTTAATCCCACCAACCTTTAAATAAGTGCGCCAGTATTTCTGATATCAGTGTAGCACCTATATGCGTATGCCCATATATGCACAGAGACAGTTTTCTAGGTACTTTCAGTTTAAATTTCAAACATTACAAATCTATAAAGAAATATGGCTGCTTTGCTTGAAATTTGGGTTCCATTTGCTTATGCTTTTTAACAGTTGTGAAATACATGACACAGGACCTCCGACCTTCTGCATTTCCTAAGCGCAAGCTTTATATTTGAAGCACGTGTGTGTATCTGTAAGTAGCCGGGTTTTGGGCCTCTCAGATTTGATTCTCTTACACTTAATGTGCGTGTGCTAGAGCTCCCTGTTTGTTAAACAAGAATAGCACTGCAGGAACCTGAATATCCCTGAAATGCCATGAAAACCCTCTTTATTTGTGGAGCGTTCAGGCACTGCAGAGACGAAGGCTTTATTAAGTCTCTGGGAGTACTTGACTTTAATCACAGCCTTACAAAGTTTTTGTTTTGTTTATTAAGTTTGTTCTTTTTTTTTTTTTTCTTTTTTTGGTGCGTTTTCTGTTATCTACCCAAATCCAAACTTCAGCCTGGTTAAGATTTTTTTTTTTTTTTCCCACTTACAGAAATAAAACTACATGTAATGTGTTTCTGGGAAAGGCTTGTAGTCCTGACCCTTCCATAATATTGTCCTACCTGGCCCCAAGACCTCATTATAAAGAAATCCAGATCTTTCAGTGATTTGCAGAGGCTGTTCTTGTTTGTGAGGAGCCAGATATTCTTATTTATTTCATAGGAGCAAAAAAGTGAGCTGTTAGCAGTGCTGTTCCTGGCAGACTCGTGCAATAGCTGGAGTTTACAAATGGAAAAGACAATAAGCTTTTTTCCCTCCCTTTGGGCTGCGGAAGATAGGGATATCAATACGTTTTCCTTTGCATTGGGATAAATATGCTGTTTAAGTCGATCCATTGCTTCGCTTTATTGATGGATACATGTGCTCCAGTGGCTCTGCAGCTGACAT